CAATCCTATATACCAGTGGTCCTCAACTAGAAATGCTGTAGGTCCACTTTTTTTTTTTTAAATAAGACCAAGGTCCGGTCCCATGCACGGCGGTCATGGGGAGCAGGGCTATATGCCCATTTAGTGTGGTCAAGCCAAGCTTATACAAATCAACACTCCTCACAACCAACCAATAATGGGGTGCATGAAAATAACAATTATTCACTTTGCCAGTACACAGCAAATAATGAGAGGTATTGTGTTGAGGCACAGGAACTCTTTTATTTTGTTAAGTTGTGCCGGCTTAATAATAGAAATAGCCCTTTTAGGGAAATAACACATTTTTACTTTAACTTTGTTAAACAGTAGTTGTCTTTTTTTCCCTTAATTTAACACAAACAAAACACTCATTTTACCAAAATAATTACTACACATGAAAACAAAAATATCCTTTTCATTTGTACAATTCCCCTTTTCACATCCCCTCTGAAATCACTGAAACATATCAGAAGAGGAGTTAAGAACCATTTTAAATACTGACACAAGGGAGCACAGGAATGTGCAGTGTTGTTCTTCCACTAAAGGTGAATGCAATGTCTGAGGCATGCAAATATTATTTGAGGACGCCATTGTGATGTTCATTTACCATGTTGCGGTGTTCTGCTGTTAAACAGCTGCAAAGATCCCCGGGTAGACGGGAGCAAAACTGCACACAATCGAAACCTCCCGCGATTCGTCTTGTCTAATTGTCTGTGTGCAGCTCTCCTGGACTGAAGCTGTGAGCACAACTGTGGCGTCGCGCATGCGTCTGTTTCCTGACACAATCATCCATTTTGAATGCGTGTGTGTTGGGATAGACGCGTGAATCATATCTTAACAGGGCCCACCTTAAGTTCAGAGGAGCCAATCAGCGCGTCGTTATCGCCGACATGCCCTGCTCAGCCAGGGTCTCCAGTTAGTCAAACATTATACAACACACAGTCGCGTTGCTACGGTCCTCTGCAATACCTCTGTTAGTGCACGCAAAGAATACAACGGATAATTTGAACAAGCGATCGCAGTAATGCGCAGATTATAGTCCACAAATATAAAATGTATAACGTAAAAATCACTTTATGAATTATTATTTTATACAATTTGCCGAGGGTTCAGACAGAGGAGGTCCGGACAGAGGAGGTCGGCGGTCCGGTCGTGGATCGCGGTCCGCCAGTTGAGGAAGGCTGCTATATACTAAGCAATTTAATTAAAACTTTATTCTTGTTTTCTTTGCGAGTTTCACATTCAGCAGACAAATACAACCAAAAGACTGTATAATAGTCTGTGTAATATAGACATAGTTCAGGTTGATGATGTAACTGACAATTTGCAAGAAAGCCGTCGCAGTGCACAAAATATCATTTTGGACGATTATGCAAACTATGTTAAGGTGAACACTTCTGTACCAACAAACACAAGAAACAACAAAGACATTTTCTGAAGTAATTTCGAATAAAACCCCCCCCACAAAGCTTCAAGACTCATATTAGAGGAGTCAGTCACAGCATTAGCTTCCGCTGAGCTGTCAGATGAGGAAGAAGAGCACAAGTTCACTACTTGTGTGACACCCATTTCCTCTTTTTTTTTTTTTTTTTAAAAGAGACGTTAAAATAGATATAAGTGTTAGGCAGACACAGAGACACACATGCGAACTCTCAAGTCCAGAGATAAACTAACATAACATAATGAGACCCAACTACACTATCCTGTGTGTTTGGAGGCTTAAGAGTTCTTCAAATCTCCTTTTGTACAAGGGTCATTCAATAAATAAGGTGAATTTTTCAGTATAAGAACTAATACAAATAGAAGCTCACTTTTTTTTTTTTTTTTTAATTCAACGTCGTCTCCCAGCACTACCACACACACTTTTCCCATCTGTGCACAAACTTCCGTATTCCGTCAGCGTCAAAATCTTTGGACTGATGTCTCAACCAGTCAGTCGCAAAACTTTTGACTTCATTGTCACTTTCAAACTTAATGCCTCTCGTGAACGCTTATAAGTACTGTCTAGACCGGGGGTCGGCAACACGCGGCTCCAGAGCCGCATGCGGCTCTTTAGCAACATCTAGTGGCTCCTTGGAGCTTTATAAAAAATGTTTGAAAATGGAAAAAGATTTTGATAGTAGGCTAATATAGCTCAAATAGATATAGATACATGTTGTAGCTCCGAAAAAGGAGAGCTGTGGTGTTGTTTTTTTTAAAACGTACACTTTATTTATGCTTTTAACAGTCTCGACAAACACAGAGACGTCTGTGTCCGACTCCGTGCCTTCTCTCTTCTCGTTCGACTCGAGAGGCGTTCTAAGACAGCCTCCAAAAAACGAAAATTTATGATCACTTCACTGACACTAAGAAAAGTGAAAATAATGCACCAAAACAAAAAAAAAAATCAAGCGAGGAAATCACAAAATAAATTCTATGGGGGCGTTTGTGAACACACAACAAAGGAATGAATAACAAACAATTCTGAGACAGTCCAGTCTCCTACATACATACAGCATGTGTTTCCTTCATTGTAAGTTTTATAGAAGGCTTTTATTTTTTTGCAGCTCCAGCCATATTTGTTTTTTTGTTTTTTTGTCCTATATGGCTCTTTCAACATTTTGGGTTGCCGACCCCTGGTCTAGACAAAAAAAACAAAAACAAAAAAACATTCTCACTCACATTCATAGCTATATGCAGTTTATTTGTTCAGGCAGTAATCTTTTTTTTTAATTTTTTTTTTTTTTATGCTTTTGTCAGGACATGACTCATCATTTGTCTTTTGTCCTACTGTCCATCTTCCTGTCAGTGGCTCCAAATGGTAAGTTAAAACCACTTGTTTTCAAAAATGTCAATGCAGCTCCCGTATTGCTATTTACAGTGTGTGAGTCATTCGTAAGTGAAACTGGCCTTATGAGGACATTTTGTTCCAAGTATGTGAAATGCAGTCACTTCATGGAAGTTTTTCTCTTTTTAAATTAAAAATTAAATTAATTGCATTTTTTTTAATCTCATGCAGTGGCCTGTTTTCTGCAGTTGTTTCTTCCTTCCTCCATCATTTCACCACACCTGCCGAATTTATTGATTTATTTTTTACGGATGTGATTTGTTTTCATGTTATTCATTCAATTTGTAATTTAGGCCAGGGCTGCCACACCCTGATACTCAACATCTATTATCCCGCATGTTTTAGATGTTTCTCTCTTCTAACACACCTGAGAGGGACAAAGAAAGATGGACTGTTCTAAAATATGCAAGAATCATGAGGACGAGTGTTTGGCAGCTCTGACATAGGTCTTTTCTGCTTGGCTCTCGACGAAGGCGGACGCTTTTTTGCTCTGCTCCTGCCCCCCCGCCCCCCTTGTTCGCCACTCAGTCTATGTGCTGTCCTTGTGCTGTCTTTTCCTAGCCTCCGCCGTATTTTTCATCCTAAAAAACAAACCATGGAATTGGTTGGCTGGTCTCTTGATGCAATCGACAAAATTTTTCTCGATGAGAAGAGCAGGCAGTGGGGAGCCTGCTTGCCTCTCGGGACATTTGCTGCTGAGCACACCTAGATCCATGGAGGAAGCGGAGAATGGTGTGCCTGTCAATACTGTCCGTTGAGGAGAAGGAAGACATCTACATTATCGGCCTTCTGATAGCAGGTATGCTGCAGTTTGGTGTTAGCAGTTTCCTGTTGTATCGCAAAATCCAACCGACGGGAGCAGCTTTATTGGAAGTGAAGAAGCTGCCGGTCATTCTCGATGGCCTAGCGCGAATGTCCAACACTCAGACTCAAGCGGTGACTGAGCTCAACCGCAATTGCGGTTCTGGAGCGTCTCCGTACGATCGACAACAGCATGGAGAAGTTGGAATTCTCGCTTCGAAAAGGAATTGAGGATTTGGCTCATCGGCGCCAGTGAAGGGATACAGCCACGGACTCAAGGCCACCTGAAATTGTTGGCGGCCGTCCCTCCAAAACAAACAACACTATTTGGACCCCTTTCCCCTGGATGGAAGGTATGCACGGAAGCTAGTGCCCCCACCATCACCCCCTCCTTCTCGGCCATGGACTGATAAGCCAGGACTGTCTTCATGAGCAGACCTTGACGAAGCAGCTGCGGCCTGTTCACGCATACACAACCAGACAATCACACACGCATACACATCCTTATCATCACCGTCTTCATCGTTCCTATTCTTTTCCCCCGCGACGTGGAATGATCTGCGGAGCGCTCGGTGGACCGTGCAGCTGGTCAGACGGGCCGCGTCGCGGTCGCCCCCCCATCCCTTCCCATTCATTCGCCCCCTCATTACATGTTATGTCTTGTGACTTGTTGTAACTGTCATATGCTTGTTTCTGTGCTTAGGTTTTTTTTTTCTCCTAGACCCAAATTATCCTCAGAAAGAGGATAGTTTGAGCATGGTTCTTTTAAACCTCTCCCTCCCTAGTGGTTTCCTTTCCTGTACTAAGATCTCGGGGCGCTTTACATAGCGAGTACCGACAGGCCCTTTGCACTGTATCCCATGTTTGTCATTGTTTTTTTTCATGTTTCTTGTGCAGAGCGTGCCTGTTAAGATAATTTCGTTGCACGGATGTGTAATGACAATAAAGCAATCCAACTATGTGTCATGCGTGAAGCAGTATTTTAACCCAGAAGCAGACGTGACACTGAAGTTGAAAAGTAAAAGTCTTTACAGTATCTGTAAAAATCCAAAATAACTGCAGAGAGAGCAGGGCCGGATACGGAAGACATGGAAGATAACTCACGTAATGACGTCTCACTGAGTAAGCTGAGTTGAACCCTTCTAGGGACAGCGGTTACTACAGTGGACAGCTTATCATGTTATCGGGTTACAGGGTGCGTGAAAGGGTTAAATACTGTATGACAGAATGAATGTGACATAAAAGTGTTGTTTAAGATTTTAAGCTCATATCTTGCTATTCAGGATATTCCCCGATGGTTCCCAAATTCTGATCGATCAACCCTAGTTTGGTGCTTTGTAAATGTTGATGATCAGAGTTCGTAAAGACGGTGTTGGATCAAGCCCCTTCCGAGGTTGAAGATTGCTGCTGGGATTCCGTCAGGGTCAGCTGCTTTGTTGTATTTCACGGCCTGATTGCAGATCGGAATTCTTTGAGCTATAGTAGCCAAGCAAGAGAGTCTTCAATGTTGAGAACGCTTCGTCAATAGTGGCCTTATGATTCAGAAGTTTGTTGAAGTGTTCCTTCCGAGGAGGTTAAGCATACCAGGACAACAAAGATAGTATTTTCGTGTTTTGAAAAATCGTCACATTGGAAAACTTCCGCCACTTCCCTCTTGTGAAAGCATTTGACGATCCTTCTTTTTCACAGGTTACAGAAAAACATGGTGTACTGCTCATGGTGTTGATGCCAGGAGAATTTAACAAACCCCTCAATTTACAGTTACTGTATTTAGTTTTAATTTACAGTATGTGTTTTTGTATGTCTTTTTATTCGTAGGATGGTGTCAAAATGAAGAAGTTTGCTATAAGTCCATCGTAAATTCCTGCAATGACTGTGTCAGATCTGGGCCATACTGCGCTTGGTGTCAACAACTGGTATGTTTTAAGACCAATCTGTGATTTTACTATTTGATCATTTGATTTTATAGGTGACTTGAATTCATGATCAATGTTTTCTTCCAATTAAAACAAACAAAAACAAATTCTTTTTCACCACTGATCACTCAATTAGCCTTGTTTCTCAAGTCTCCAGTGTAACTTCGTTTTTATGCAAAAAATATTGTACAGAGTTGATGTTGGGATGCTGGAGCAGGTTATTTCCAAGTTGAAACCAACAACTTGCCTTTTAGATTCCTTCCCAACAACTTTCTGACAGAAGATATCCGATACATTTAAATACCGGGAGTTCTTTCGAGACAGGGGCCTTTCCATCAGAAAAAAATAAGGAAACTGTCATAAACTAATACTCATCCATCCATCCATTTTCTGATCCACTTATCCTCACAAGGGTCACGGGGTATGCTGGAGCCTATCCCAGCCGTCATCGGGCAGTAGGTGGGGTACACCCTGAACTGGTTGCCAGTCAATCGCAGGGCACACATAGACAAACAACCATCTGCGCTCACACTCACACCTTGGGACAATTTAGAATGTTCCATTAACCAGCCACCCATGTGTTGGGAATGTGCGAGGAAACCGGAGTACCCGGAGAAAACCCACACATGCACGAGCGAATGCAAACTCCACCCCAGGAAGGCTGGAGCCAGAATTGAACCCTGCAATTCTGCACTGTGAGGCAGACGAGCTAACCACTTGAACACCAGGCCGCCCATATCATTCATAGTATCGTAATATTATCTAAATTATACTAATATTCATCTTGTCTTATTAAATGGGTTCAAAGCATTGATAATGGTGCTCTTTGTGTGTGGTGCCCCAAAAGCAGGTGTAAAAAATGTAAAGTTAAAAATGAATCTGATCCAATTCTCATGTCATCTGTCAAGAATTTCACCAAAGCAGGTGAGCAGGAATCAGCACGCTGTGAAACGATAGCTAAATTGGTGGAAAGAGGCTGCAAAGAAGAAGAAATTATCAACCCTGTGAGCAGTCAACAAATAGAAAGGGATGAATTTTTGTCAACATCATTCAATATGGAAGAGCCTATCCAGCTAAGTCCACAGAAGATAAGCCTGAGATTGCGACCTGGTGAGTTTGAGTTCTGATTTGATCACATTAAAAGTCTGTTTTTTTTTTTTGTTTTTTTTTAACTCTCCAAAATAATTACTGTAATTCTTAACATTCTGAAACAACAATTTAATCGTCACATTGTTAATGATATTTTAATACAGTGGAACCTTGGCTCACAATGAATTTGCTACGAGACTGTTTGGAAATCCAAATGTTTGTGAACCAAAGCAGTTGTTCCCATTTAAAGGAATGGAAATAAAATGAATCCGTTCCAGTCCCAAAGTTGCTTCTGCGCATGGATCACAGGGACTCCAGCTGATGCGGCGTTGAAATGCAGAACCAGGGATGCTCTATTGGATTTTTTTAATTGAATTTTATTTCTCCATTAAGCTTTTATGATGAACATTGTATTAAAATTTTGAAAAATGCACAATTACAGCACACGTTGCAAGTATCAGTCATATCGCCAGGTTAAGATATGTAGATACAAAATAAGCATCAACTTTACATTGACCAACAACAGAGGCAACATCAAAACAATCATCACCAAATAAAACAAAACTAGGGTATCAAAAGCACAAGAAATAAGAACCCTGCAAATAACAGTACCAAATAGAGAAAGTTAAATACTACAACTATGACTACTAATTAGTAATAATAATAATGTGAGGTTTTGGGGGAATTTAGGTCGTTCCAGCCTATATGCGCCAGTGAGAGCTCACCAGACACCGCTGGAACCAACTTCTCAGGGCTTTCAAACAGCACGACTTGTACATTTCACTTTCTTGGCAAAGTTATGATACGCATCATATATTATTATACTGAGGGTAATTTAGACCAAAAATAACAAAACAGAAGCACAAAGTATTTTAACCCTTTCATGCACCCTGTAACCTGATAACATGATAAGCTGTCCACTGTCATAACCACTGTTCCTGAGGGGGTTAATGTGACATATGTGACACAAAGAGTAACCAAAAGCATAATTTTATGGATGATGTGATTGTTTGCGCACTGCAGCGTATGACTGGTGTGCATGAGTATTAAGTGCTTATTTTTGTTTTTTTTCCCCCTCCGCTTCTGCACAGGGCTTCCAACCACATTCAGTGTTTCATTTAAGAGAGTTCAAGGCTATCCGGTGGATCTCTACTACCTGATGGACTTGTCTTTCTCCATGAGAGATGACTTAGAGAATGTCAAAGACCTTGGGCAAGATCTCTTTGCAGCGCTAAGGAAAATTACAGAACATGCCCAAATTGGTAATGTTACATCCACTATTACACCTTTAGTGATCTTGTTAACTGATCGTATTGCAAGGAGAAAAAAAAAACATGATAAATATGGGACTAATGTCATTTCTATAACTTTAGGGTTCGGTGCCTTTGTTGATAAGACCGTCCTTCCATACACCAACACCAACAAGAAAAAATTACAGAAGCCATGCGATGAGAATTACCAGTGTCAAGCTACCTTTGGCTACCGGCATGTGCTTAGTATGACACCAAGGATTGAACAGTTCAAAGCTAAAGTAAAAGAGCAGTTGATTTCTGGGAATTTGGATTCTCCAGAAGGGAGCCTTGATGCCATGATGCAAGCTGCTGTTTGTGGGGTAAGGAATCAAGCATTAATATGAACTACAGCATATACAGCAAGGGTGCCCAACCTTTTTGGACTGAAGATCCACTTTTTGATCAACCAACCTCCCGCATCTTGATGAAGCCGACAGGACCAGATCATCTGCAAAAAGCAGATAAGTAATTGTAAGGCCACCAAAACAGACACCCTCACTGCCCTGGCTGCGCTTACAAATTCAGTCTATAAAGGATATGGTGGAGAACCATCAATCCATCCATCCATCCATTTTTCTGAAATGCTTTATCCTCACAAGAGTCGCAGGGATGCTGGAGCCTATCCCAGCTGTCTTTGGGCAGTAGGCGGGGGACACCCTGAACCAGTTGCCATCCAATCGCAGGGCAGATAGGGACGAACAACCATCCGCGCTCACACTCACACCTAGGGGCAATTTTGAGTGTTCAGTCAGCCTGCCACACGTGTTTTGGGAATGTGGGAGGAAACCGGAGTACCCAGAGAAAACCCACACAGGCATGGGAAGAACATGCAAACTCCACACAGGAAGGCTGGAGCCGGGACCGAACCCACGACCTCTGCACTGTGAGGTTGATGCGCTAACCACTGGTCCACCAGGCCACCCGGTGGAGAACCTTCACTGGAAATTAACCCTTTCATGCACCCTGTAACCTGATAACTGATAACCGCTGTCCATGAAAGGGTTAATCCGATTGACTGTTGGCAATGCGGAATAAACTCAAACACCGGTAGTACAGGAACCTATCAGCCCATCCTAGGGCATCTGTACTTCCGGAGCAAATCCTCTGGGGACATGGCCGACATTCTTCTCCAAGCCCACAAAGCACATGCTGACTCATTGGGCAAATTCCCATGCAGCCCCGAGAACCCTGCCAATGGTGTCGCGCTGGTCCACTGTTCCACTGCCAGGATGAAAACTACACTACCTTTACTTTTCCTGGAGTCCTGGATTCACATTTATGAATAGACCTTACAAAGGAGGCTAGTGAGTGTGATCCCCCTGTATTTGGAAAACATACCTCGGTGCCTCTTCTTGAGAGGAACTGTCACAAATATCACCCAGTAAAGCTACACAATATCCAGAGCCTTTCGGAACTCTGGACAGATCTCATCCACCCCCGGGGACCTGGCTCCCTTGGTGAATTCAACCCCTGAGATAGGTGAACCCTAGTACAGATACCCCAGACTTTGCTTCCTCATGGGAAGGTGTGTCAGTGGACTAGACAAGGACTCTAATTTAATGAGCTGATCCAGAACGTCCCAGGTTGACATCACTCGCGCCCCATCCCTACTATACATGGTGTTGATGTGTTTTTTTTCTTGCATCATTACAACATCCTCTTTTTCCCACTGTTTTTTCAGTGATCAAAGTATTTTGATCCATGTGTGGGGAACTGAAATTTGTCAGCAAGAAAAAACAAAAACAAAAAAATCCATAAATTCACTGGCCGCGGATGGGCAAGCAGTTGAAACATTTACTCACACTGTCTCAAATTTTAGGTCCAAAATCCCAATTTTTTTTTTTTTTTTTGTGGCAATCTGGAGCCCTGGCACTGATGCAACAATTTATACTAGCTTGAAACCATGGCTCCTGTTTATAGTCGCGATCAGCACTGTTAGCTGGTACGACAACGGTTACCAAAGTGCAACCTGACAGTCCACTGAAGAGGAGGAGATCAAGGGTGTCATGATTCGGTTTGGGACCAACAGGTGGCACTGTAGGGCTTCCCCTGCAGCTGCACACCTGTTGGTCATTAGGTAATTAGTGCCTTTAAAAGGACTCCCAGCCCGAGCAATCATTGTCCGGTCATTGTTGCTTTTTGCTCCTGTCATGTTTGTTTGTTGCCGTTTCTCTGCTGCTGTCAGGTTTGTTTTGGTCATGGTTCTGTTTTTGCTTCAGTTATGATTTTTGTTTGCTACTTTGGACTATGTTTGTTTTGGATTTAGTTTTCTCTGTTCCAATACACTTCTTCAAATACACCCTGCTCCTCCCTCTTGCCTGCTTTTTGGGTCCAACACCACCTTGCAACGTGACAGAATGACCCGACCACCTGGACCCCGCAGGTACAAAGACTGGTTCCTATTCCACCATGTGCCTGGCGGAGCACGTCTGCGACCGACACCCTTTTCCCCTTCAGGCAGCGCTGGTGATGCGGCTGTCCTGTTTTCGTCTCGTTAATTAAATTAAAGCCTGTCCTTTGTCACGAAATCTAAGTTAAACAAGTCTGTATAATTATTTACATGTATTTCTATTTCTGCAGAGGGTGCATTAACCGAAAATTTTCAATCATTGACGGATTTTTTTTAAGAGTGGACGGGGAAAATTTTAGGCCGTCTGTCATTTTGACGGGTTGAAAATTGGGCCATTCACCACAGCAGCAGTACGTCCTTTAAAAATCGAGTGCGGCATTTGAAGAGAAGCAGCGAGACAAAGAACAATGACGGCTG